GACCTTCATTTGTTTGGGGTACACATCTGTTGACAAACCGACTTATATTTTCTAAAATTCTTTATTTAGGTATTTTATGGAAAAGTAAATATTTTGTTTCCCACCCGTTGCATGGTGAACATGTGTGCGTGTCCATGGCTAATATAATATTTTTTCTCATTATAATTAAATTTCCAACATTTCCAATAAGAAGATTCATTCCGCATCACCATCACATAATTATAATCCTTGTCACAACTAGCTGCCTTATCATCAGGCCTGTCATTGCCAAAGGATTCCAAAAATGTTATTTTCTCCGCCAACTTTCAATTAGGTTACGTTACAAATGTTAATGCTCTTACACAACGCATTCGAATATGTGAATTTGAATGAATGTGCGAGTGTTCCCGTCTAGCTTTAGCTGGGAATTTGATCATATGACGGTTGGTGGAGGCGACCTACGAACAAATGTCCTTTTTTATGAACGGCAATTATTTGCTCGGGCTACATTGTAGGAGGATCTATGAAGATTGATTGTATGTGATGATGGCGATGATGCTGCTACTGTAATGTCGTTGTTGTTGCTGCTCACAGTAGTGGTGGTGGTGTGTGTGTGTTTGTGTGAAAATTGTATTTGTAACATGTGCGTTATTTTACGGATTATAACCGAGAGTAAATTAGTTCCTATTTTTTCATCCTTCCATCCTGCCATCCTTTTCGCTTTTCGTCGTAATCTCATTTCATTTCGATAATCATTTTTCTCCATTTTACTTGTCTGCCTCGACATTCGTTTCGCTGCAAAGCCTTTTAGCATTAAAAATATTTTCTTTCTCGATTGGCGTCCGCATGTTCCGCATTCATTTATTACTACGGTTTCATGCATTACTAATGCAGCGGAGTTGATTGGAAATGAAGGGTGCAGGGAGAGAGATGAGAGACTGGGGGGATTCGATGAGTTATCACAGTGTTGTGAATTGAAAGATTTTATGTTTTTTTTGCAGATTTTTTATAAATAATTATTCAAGGACTCTCAGGACAATAATCGTGGATTTTTTATAAATAATTTTTCAAGGGCTCTCAGGACAATGCTCGTGGATTTTTTTATAAATATTTTTTCAAGGACTCTCATGACAAAATATTTGAGTTTTCATAAATAATTTTTCAAGGACTTTCAGGACAATAATCGTGGATTTTTTATAAATATTTTTTAAAGGACTCTCATGACAAAATTGTTGAGTTTTCATAAATAATTTTTCAAGGACTTTCAGGACAATAATCGTGGATTTTTTATAAATAATATTTGAAGGACTCTCAGGACAATAATCGTGGATTTTTTATAAATATTTTTTCAAGGACTCTCAGGACTATTATCGTGGATTTTTTAAAAATAATTTTTCAAGGACTGTTAGGACAATAATCTTGGATTTTTTATAAATAATTTTTCAAGGACTCTTAGGACAATAATCTTGGATTTTTTATAAATAATTTTTCAAGGAATTTCAGGACAACAATCGTGGATTTAAAATAATAATAAATATAATTATGAATATTTTTTCAAGGACTCACAGAACAATAAATGTGGATTTTTTTTTAAATTTTCAAGGACTTTTAGGACAATAATCGAGGATTTTTTATAAATAATTTTTAAAGGACTCTCAGGACAATAATCGTGGATTTTTTATAAATAATTTTTAAAGGACTCTCCGGACAATAATCGTGGATTTTTCATAAATAATTTTTCAAGGACTCTCCGGACAATAATCGTGGATTTTTCATAAATAATTTTTCAAGGACTCTCGGGACAATAATCGGGGATTTTCAAAGAAAAAATAAATAATGGACAAAAATTTTCATGCACTTGCATTTTACAAGGACTTAAAGGATAATAATCGTGAACTTTGAGGACAATAATCGTGGGCTTTCTGGACAATAATCGTGGACTTTGAGGACAATAATCGTGGGCTTTCTGGGCAATAATTGTGAACTTTCGGGGAAATAATTTTCATGGACTTTCGAGGAGATAATTTTCAAGGACTTTCAGGTTTATTGTCCTGACCTTCCGCGGACCTTCAGGAAGAAAAAATTAACTTTCAGGACAACTTAACTTTCATGTCAGTAATTTTAAAGAACATTGAGAACAATACTCGTGGACTATTAGGTCAGCAATTTTCAAGGACTTTTGGACGGTCAAGGACTTTGGACTAAGTCAGCAATTTTCAAGGGCTTTCAGGAAAATAATCCCAGATTTCAGGACAGTATTTCAAAGGGCTTTTAGAACAAATGTTATGGAAGACTGGCAGAATAATAATAACTTTTAGGACAATAATCGTGACTATTAGAACAATAATTTTCAAGGTCCTTCGGTATAATAACCGTGGACTTAAAGGATAATAATTGTGGACATTTTGAACAATACTTTACAAGGACTTTCAGTACAATATTCGCGGACTATTAGGACAGCAACTTTTCAATGACTTGCAGGACAATAATCGTAGTCTTTCTGCACAGTATTTAAAAGGACTTTAAGGAAAATAATTTTCAAAGATTCACAGGACAATAATCGTGGACTTTCAGGACTATAATTTTCAAGGAGTTTCTGGACAATAACCGTGGATTTCCACGGCCACATGTTTCAGTTCAATAATCGTCGATTTTAAAGGAATATTTATTAGGGATTCCCAGGACAATAGTTGTGGATATTAAAATGAATAGCTTTTCAAGGACTCTCCGGACAATAGTCTTGGGTTTTAGAAGAATATGTTTTTTTGAAGCACTCAGGAAAATAACTTTCTTTTTTTGAAAATGGTTTTAAAAGATGATAAGATTTTTTTTCAGGATTTGTAAGAAATATTTTAAAAGGACTCAGTCGTGTAAATATATATTTTTTTGTGGAGTACTTTCAATATTTTTTCGAGGGCTCTCAGGACAGTATTTATTTTGAGAATATTTTTTTCCTAGGAATCAAAGGATATTTTTTGCTTAGGAAGATTATCGTTAATTTTTAAAGAAAAGTTTTGAAAGGTATTTCAGCACTATAATCTTGAATTTCCGAAGAAAAATGGTTGAAGGACTCTAAATATATTTTTTAAGTCGTAGATTTCTAAAAAAAAATTGTTTCAAGAACACTTAATCGTGGATTTTTGGTGATTTTTTGAGGACTCTCAGGAAAATTCGGAAGGGCTTAAAGGAACATGTTGAGGCAAAAAATGGTTGATTTTTAAAGGATATTGTTTCAAGTTTAAAAGTCGTGAATTTAAAAAAATATATATTTTTGGATGACTTTGGGAATTTTTCAAGGAATGTCGGGACACTAAGCTTGTATTTTTATAGTTTTTTTTTAAGAATTCTCAGAACAATAATCGTGGATTAAAAAAAAACATTTTTACCCTATTTCCTATGCAATAATATTGGGTTATTGAAGTATGGTTTGGATGTTAATCAGGATATTTTTTGATTACTTTCAGGGTAATAAAAGTGGAATTTTAAATACATTTTTTAGAACCCTCTGGATATTTTTTTTTTTTTTTGAAGACTTTCATTTATTTTATTTTAAAGGGCTTTCAGAACAAACATTTTCATGGACTCTCAGTACAATAAAATGGATATTCCTTCCATAAAAAATCTGTGGCAGACTCTCCCTCTCTTATCTTTTTTTTCTTTTTCAAATTTTCTCCATACCTAGCCACTGTAAACTTTAGTGTGTGCATTTGTGTGCTCGTCAAATGAATTTCATGCAGGAAGCGTAACGAATTTTGCGGTATAATATATTGAAAACACACGCGCACACACCGAAATACACCTCTTTCTCAATGGCTTCCATAGTAACCAAGTTCCTAGCTCTGATATTGAAGAAAATGTAAACGGCAGTGGTTGTGGTGGACGGCATGCCGATCGATTGGTCGCATAGCACAAATTACCGTAATCGCTTTTATTGATTGGAATTATTACATTTGCCTGCTACTTATTGATGCTTTAGATGGTTTGCTATGGCAGCTAAGTAAAGTGTGGTAATCGTTCCGCCGTTTTGTTCCGCTGCCCCCTGCTCTTTAGTTAAAAGTGGCATACGTTTTTTAAAGCTTTGAAACTAATTTTTATTTTAGTATGCTTATATTCGTTGCTTCCTTTACTGTCGCCTATTAATTTTCTATATCAAAATTTAGTGTGCAATTGAAATTTTATTAGTTACTTTGATTTATCATACACTTGTTTAGTATACTGAGAGTCCTAGAAAAATATTTTATTTAAAAATCCACGTTATTGTCCTGAGAATCCTTAAATACTATTCTTTAAAAATCCACGTTTATTGTCCTGAGAATGCTTAAAACTATTCTTTAAAAAATCCACATTTATTGTCTGATAATCCTTAAAAAGTATCATTTAAAAAAATTAAGTTTGTTGTCCTTAAAGTCCTTGAACATTGACATTTTATTATTTAAAAAATCAACGTTTGTTGTCCTGAAAGTCATTGACATTTTATTATTTAAAAAATCAACGTTTGTTGTCCTGAAAGTCATTGACATTTTATTATTTAAAAAATCCACGTTTGATGTCCTGAAAGTCATTGACATTTTATTATTTAAAAAATCCACGTTTGTTGTCTTGAGAATTCTTGAAAAAATATTCTTAAAAATCCACATTCATTGTTCTAAGAATCCTTGAAAAAATATTCGTTAAAAATCCACGTTTATTGTCCTGAGAATCCTGGAAGAAATATTCGTTAAAAATCCACGTTTATTATCCTGAGAATCCTTGAAAAAATATTATTTAAAAACCCACGTTTATTATCCTGAAAATACTTGAAAAAAATAATTTAAAAAATCCACGTTTATTGTCCTGAAAGTCATTGAAAAATTTTTCTTTAAATAATCCACATTTATTGTCTTGAAAGACCTTTAAAAATCGAATTTTCCTTTAAAATTCACTTTATTGTCCTGAGAATCCTTAAAAATATATTGTAATATAGTCTATATATCCTGATCCAGATTTAAAATAATTGTTTTTAATTTTAATGCCTCTTCCAGAAATGCCCGTCGCTGGCCCTTGATGATAGATCCTCAGGGTCAGGCCAATAAATGGATTAAGAATTTGGAAAAGAACAATAAACTTTGTGTGATACGCCTGAATCAACCCGATTACACTAGGGTTTTGGAAAATGCCATTCAATTTGGACTGCCAGTGCTGCTGGAAAATATTGGCGAAGAATTGGATCCGCTACTGGAATCAATTTTGCTCAAACAACTTTTTAAGCAGGGAGGAGCTTTGTGTATTAAACTGGGTGATTCGGTTATTGAATACAACCACAATTTTAAGTGAGTAAATATGGAATTCGGCTGTTTGGTCAGCCCAAAATTTCGATGGGGATTATGAAGTCTAGAATACCTTTGAATGAAAATGAACTAAAATCTAGATTCGAACTAATTAAACTCCATAGTCCCGTTATTTATATCCGAAATTTTATGATTTTTGAAAAAATTCCCTTTCAGATTCTATATGACAACAAAGCTACGCAATCCCCACTACTTGCCCGAGGTTGCAGTCAAGGTCACTCTCTTGAATTTCATGATTACCACCCAAGGTCTGCAAGATCAATTATTGGGTATTACGGTGGCTCGTGAACGTCCCGATCTGGAGGCCGAGAAGAATACTCTCATTGTCCAGGGTGCCGAAAATAAACGAATGTTAAAAGAGACTGAAGATCAAATTCTGGAAGTTTTATCATCAGCTGAAAATATTCTCGAAGATGAGACGGCTGTACAGGTTCTCAGCTCAGCCAAGGCTTTGGCAAATGACATCAACGAGAAACAGGTTGTCACTGAGGCTACGGAGAAGCAAATTGATACGGCCCGTCTGAGTTATGTCCCCATTGCGGAACATTCGACTATTTTGTTCTTTACGATTGGTGAGTTGGGAAACGATCGAAGATAATTTTATGGTCCTTTTGAAATTCTCTTTAAAAACCCAGGATTATTGGTCTAATGGTCCTTTTGCATTTTTTTATTCACGTTTCTTGGTCAGATGGTCCTTTTGAAATTATCTTTAAAAATCCAGAATTTTTGGTCTGAAATGCTTTTGAAATTCTCTTTAAAAATCCAGGATTATCAGTCTAATGGTCCTTTTGAATTTTTTTTAAAATCCACATTTCTTGGTCAGATGGTCCTTTTGAAATTTTCTTTAAAAATCCACGTTTTTTGGTCTGGTTGTCCTTTTGAAAAATTCTTTAAAAAATCGACGTTTCTTAGTCCGATGGTCCTTTGGAAAAATTATTTAAAAAATCGACGTTTCTTAGTCCGATGGTCCTTTGGAAAAATTATTTAAAAAATCGATGTTTCTTAGTCCGATGGTCCTTTTGAAAAATTCTTTAAAAAATCAACGTTTCTGGGTCTATTAATCCTTTTGAAAAATTCTTTAAAAAATCAACGTTTCTTGATCTGTTTATCCTTTTAAAGAATTCTTTAAAAAACCCACATTTCTTGGTCTGAGACCATCCTTTGAAGATTTTTCAATTTCCCCCGAAATCACTAATTATTCTCCCAAAAAAAAGATGTAATTGGCACACAATTTAAATTTTTTCCTCGAAAATTTGTTGCTGCTATTCAATTTGTTCCTCTTCTTGTGAGAACATAAACTCAAAACCAATATCCTGTGCTCTTCAGAAAAGCAGCTTTTACACTCCTTTTTGTTAATGGTAACCTCATGCTACCTTTGTAAGCTTTCAAGGATAATAACAGCAACAACAGTTTCCAGTCAATAACACAGTTGGTTGCTGGTCCTTGTGTATGCGTGTGTGTAGTTGTGTTCGTTAGAAGGTCCTTTGTTGTCTAAGTGTTTATAGTTTTTAATTTCCGCTTTATTGTGCTACTGATAGGTTTACAGCTTCCAGGGTATGGTTGCAGAGGTGGCACCAATGTTGCAAAATGTGGCGAAAAAGGACACTCGTGGACATGGGGGTTTCAGTATTTTGGCAAAAATACATTTTTGAGAGGAGACATTTGATATAGATACTGTTACACCCTACGATTCGGGTAAGAAAGTCCTTACAAAAATATTCTTAAACACAGCCAATTTGAAGTCTTTTTGGTCCTTGTTCTTTAAAAAATATTCTTAAAAAATCCACTGAGAGTTCTTTAAAAAATTCACTATTGAAGCCTGTTTGGTCCTAGAAAAATATTCTTTAAAAAATTCACTATTGAAGCCTGTTTGGTCCTTGAAAAATATTCTTTAAAAAATCCACGTTTAAGGCCTTTATGGTCCTTGAAAATTTTTCTTTAAAAAATCCACATTTAAGGTCCTTGAAAATTTTTCTTTAAAAAATCCACATTTAAGGCCTTTTTTGGTCCTTGAAAAATATTCTTTAAAAAATCAACATTTAAGGCCTTTTTGGTCCTTGGAAACAATTCTTTAAAAAATCCACGTTTAAGGACTTTTTGGTCCTTGAAATTTTTTCTTTAAAAAATCCACATTTAAGGACTTTTTGGTCCTTGAAAAATATTTAAAAAATCCACGTCTAAGGATTAACAGACCAAGAAACGAGAATGTTTAAAGAATTTTTCAAAAGAAAAATATTCTTTAAGAAATCCACGATTATAGTGTTGATAAACCTTTCGAAGAATTCATAAAAAATCTGAGAATTATTCGAATAATTCTTAAAAAAATTCACGATTAAAGCCTTGATAGTCCTTTTGAAAAATTCTTTAAAAATCCACATTTATAGACTTGATCCTGTTGATTAATTTTTGAAAATCCACTTTTAGAGCCTTGTTGGTCCTTTGGAAAATTCTTAAAAAGCCCGTAGTTTATAGGCTTGATGGTCATTGAAAAATATTTTTAAAAAATCCAACTGAGAGTTATTTAAAAATATTTTTCAAAAAGCCTGTTTAGTCCTTGGGAAAAATTCTTTAAAAAATCCATAGTTTATAGCCTGATGGTCCTTGAAAATTTTTCTTAAAAAATCCAAGTTTCTAGCATTGAGAGTCATTTAAAAAAAAAAAACCTTTTTGGTCCTTGGAAAATATTTTAAAAAAATCTGCATTGATAGCCTTGATGGTCCTTTTGAAAAATTCTTGTTCTGAATACACGTTTTCGGTATGGAGAGTCCTTCCAAAAATATTCTTAAAAAATCTAGTTTCTAGTTTCGTTCGTCCTTGAGCAATTATTTCTTAAAAATCTAAGGTTCATGATCTTGTTGGTCCTCAAAACAATTTCTTAAAATATATACTTTTCAAAAATCCGCCTTCTCCTAATAGTCCTTATCTTAACCCATGGTCCATATCAATTAACCCCCTGCCTTGTGTAGGGTATGGGAAAACGTTGGAATAAAGTCAATGTCTGTTTCTGACATTTACCATTAAAGCTTGTCAAAACAGCAGGATACTTTGTTTGGGGGCTCCATTCATCTCACTTTTTTTCTATGAAAATTCCATTAAATTTTTAAAGCATTTAATTTCCAAGGCTTTAAAGGATATTGAGGATAGGTGCGAGTGTGTGCGTTTTATTTAATCTGTTTCAGTTAAATGCCATTTGAATTGCTCTCCCTCCGCCCCCTCTTTACCGCTAGTAATTCCAATTAAAATTCGTTACAATTTCACAATCATATCCGGCGCTTATCGGTGGCACGCACACACGGGCGTGTGGCTTTTACAATGAATGAATGCGTTTTGTAAAAATGTCTGCGGTTTTGGGATTGTATTTGAAATGATTCTGCTGCTGGTGCCTTGGTCCTGCACCCAATCAACCTGCCATCCTTTCCTCCTCCAATTTTCCATTCTACAACCACGACATTCAAGTGTCATTTAGCATTTTAACAAATCCATTGCTTTTATCCGCCAGGCCCCCACCATCATCCATCCAAACGTCATTTATTGCACTTTACTTCGTTTCATTTGGCGGCAGCGGATTTACTTGGCAACTGGCCGCAGCCATATGGCCCACAAGCCATGGCGACTTGGTGCCTGGCTGCTCCACAATATTATTATCATTCTAAATTAATACTCGAGAATGAATGAAAAATCTCATTAATTTTCATTACAGTCGAATTGGCCAACATCGATCCGATGTATCAATACAGCTTAGCCTGGTTTGTGGGTTTGTACACGGCCTCCATTGACAATACGGAAAAGGTCGATGATATTGTGGAGCGTTTAAAGGATTTGCGAGCGCATTTCACCTACAGCCTGTATGTGAACATATGCCGGAGTTTGTTCGAGAGGGTAAGTACAAAAAACAAATTATTTGAAAAATCGGCCTTTATAGCCTTTTGAAAAATGATCCTTTTGAAAAATTCCTTAAAAAATCCACGTTTCTTGATATGTTAATCCTTTAAAAAATTCTTTAAAAAACCACGTATCTTGGTCTGATGGTTCTTTTGAAAAATTCTTTAAAAAATCCACGTTTCTTGGTCAGATAGTCCTTTTGAAAAATTCTTTAAAAAATCCACGTTTCTTGGTCAGATAGTCCTTTTGAAAAATTCTTTAAAAAATCCACGTTTCTTGGTCAGATAGTCCTTTTGAAAAATTCTTTAAAAAATCCACGTTTCTTGGTCAGATAGTCCTTTTGAAAAATTCTTTAAAAAATCCACGTTTCTTGGTCAGATAGTCCTTTTGAAAAATTCTTTAAAAAATCCACGTTTCTTGGTCAGATAGTCCTTTTGAAAAATTCTTTAAAAAATCCACGTTTCTTGGTCAGATAGTCCTTTTGAAAAAATCTTTAAAAAATCCACGTTTCTTGTTCTGTTAGTCCTCTTGAAAAAATCTTTAAAAAATCCACGTTTCTTGCTCTGTTAATCCTTTTGAAAAAATCTTTAAAAAATCCACGTTTTCTGTTCTGTTAGACCTCTTGAAAAAATCTTTAAAAAATCCAAATTCTTGGTCTGCTAGTCCTTTAAAAAATTCATGTTTATAGCCTTGATGTTGCTTTTGAAAAATTCTTTAAAAACTCCATGTTTATAGCCTTGATGTTGCTTTTGAAAAATTCTTTAAAAACTCCATGTTAATAGCCTTGATGTTGCTTTTGAAAAATTCTTTAAAAATCACGTTTATAGCCTTGATGTTGCTTTTGAAAAATTCTTTAAAAAATCCACGTTTATAGCCTTGATGTTGCATTTGAAAAATCCTTTAAAAAATCCACGTTTATAGCTTTGATGTTGCTTTTCAAAAATTCTTTAAAAAATCCACGTTTATAGCCTTGATGTTGCTTTTCAAAAATGTTTTAAAAAATCCACGTTTATAGTCTTGATGTTGCTTTTCAAAAATGTTTTAAAAAATCCACGTTTATAGCCTTGATGTTGCTTTTGAAAAATTTTTTAAAAAATCCACGTCTATAGCCTTGATGTTGCTTTTGAAAAATTTTTTAAAAAATCACATTTATAGTTTTGATGTTGCTTGTCAAAAAATGCTTTAATAAATCCATATTTATAGCCTTGATGTTGCCTTTGAAAAATTCTTTAAAAAATCCACGTTTATAGCCTTGATTTTGCTTTTCAAAATTTCTTTAAAAAATCTACGTTTATAGCTTTAATGTTGCTTTTGAAAAAATCCACGTCTATAGCCTTGATTTTGCTTTTCAAGATTTCTTTAAAAAATCCACGTTTATAGCTTTGATGTTGCTTTTCAAAAATTCTTTAAAAAATCCACGCTTATAGCCTTGATGTTGCTTTTCAAAAATTCTTTAAAAAATCCACGTTTATAGCTTTGATGTTGCTTTTCAAAAATTCTTTAAAAAATCCACGCTTATAGCCTTGATGTTGCTTTTCAAAAATTCTTTAAAAAATCCACGTTTATAGCTTTGATGTTGCTTTTCAAAAATTCTTTAAAAAATCCACGCTTATAGCCTTGATGTTGCTTTTAAAAAAATTCTTTAAAAAATCCACGTTTATAGCCTTGATGTTGCTTTTAAAAAAATTCTTTAAAAAATCCACGTTTATAGTCTTGATATTACTTTTAAAAAAATTCTTTAATAAATCCACTTTTATAGCCTTGATGTTGCTTTTGAAAAATTCTTTAAAAAAAATCCACGTTTTAGCCTTGATGTTGCTTTTGAAAAATTCTTTAAAAAATCCACGTTTATAGCCTTGATGTTGCTTTTAAAAAAATTCTTTAAAAAATCCACGTTTATAGTCTTGATATTACTTTTAAAAAAATTCTTTAATAAATCCACTTTTATAGCCTTGATGTTGCTTTTGAAAAATTCTTTAAAAAAAAATCCACGTTTTAGCCTTGATGTTGCTTTTGAAAAATTCTTTAAAAAATCCACGTTTATAGCCTTGATGTTGCTTTTGAAAAATTCTTTATAAAATCCACGTTTATAGCCTTGATGTTGGTTTTCAAAAATTCTTTAAAAAATCCACGTTTATAGCCTTGATGTTGGTTTTCAAAAATTCTTTAAAAAATCCACGTTTATAGCCTTGATGTTGGTTTTCAAAAATTCTTTAAAAAATCCACGTTTATAGCCTTGATGTTGGTTTTCAAAAATTCTTTAAAAAATCCACGTTTATAGCCTTGATGTTGGTTTTCAAAAATTCTTTAAAAAATCCACGTTTATAGCCTTGATGTTGGTGTTCAAAAATTCTTTAAAAAATCCACGTTTATAGCCTTGATGTTGGTTTTCAAAAATTCTTTAAAAAATCCACGTTTATAGCCTTGATGTTGGTTTTCAAAAATTCTTTAAAAAATCCACGTTTATAGCCTTGATGTTGGTTTTCAAAAATTCCTTAAAAAATCCACGTTTATAGCCTTGATGTTGGTTTTCAAAAATTCTTTAAAAAATCCAAGTTTATAGCCTTGATGTTGCTTTTCAAAAATTCTTTAAAAAATCCACGTTTATAGCCTTGAGGGTCCTCTGGAAAAATTCTTTAAAAAAATCCACGTTCATAGCCTTGATGTTGCTTTTCAAAAATTCTTTAAAAAATCCACGTTTATGGCCTTGTGGGTTCTCTGGAAAAATTCTTTAAAAAATCCACGTTTATAGCCTTGATGTGGCATTTCAAGAATTCTTTAAAACATCCACGTTTATAGCCTTGATGTTGCTTTTCAAAAATTCTTTAAAAAATCCACGTTTATAGCCTAGATGGTCCTTTTAATTGTCCCTGGCCCTGTTTGGTGCAATTTAATCCTGCCCTCTCCTTTCATTAGCTCAGTTGTGGCTAATTAAGTTAATTAATGTAAAAAAAATATTCAAATTAATTTGAAAAGTTCACAAAAGCATTGGGTCTGTCGTATGTATGTCTGCCTGTGCGGAATTGTAAATTGACATTATGTAAATCGGCTTGTGGATATCTCCGGTGGACATTTGTTGTTTTTTGTGTTTGACATTTGTTGTATTTTGGCTGGCTTTACTGGTCGTGACATTTGTCATTGCCCATTTGCCATGTAACTTAATTGCAAATTTGTGGAAAATGTAATTGAGCCGTTCTAGTCCCACAAGAGAAGGAACGATTGGGGAATATTGAGAAATCGGATGAAAACTTTAGTGCGTTACATTCATGAGAAAAAATAAAAACTTTTTCGTGGAAGTTCAAAAATTTCAAATTGCATTTTTCTCTTAATTAAACCCCATTTTTCCATCCAAAAAGATGGCTTTGTGGTTTTTACTGCTTAAAAAAATACCTTAACCTCTGATGACAATCTGCCTCAAATTTACCAACATTTGCAATCAGTTTCAATTTTTTTTTTTTTCTCATGAAACCTTTATTTTGTAATAACATTTCCAGATAAGTTTATTATAGTTTTTCTCTAGTTTTTATTTTAACATTTCCATATATCCTTTCAACATCATTTAATTTGAAATATGTGTATTTAACGAATGCATTTGCATTGCATACTTTTTTCTCTCGTTCTCGCTCTCTCTTTCTCTCCCACTCACACAACTACAATTGATTTACTTTTTCCGTTGCATTCCAAGTCCCCTTTAGTTTTCCATTAAAATTGCAACTTTCACTTACATGTCAAATGTGATGGTGCTATTTGTTTTTGTTATTGTTGCTGTTGGTTCTAGGATATTGCATAAAATTGAAATTATATTTCACACACAGACACACACACACATACATCCGCACACAAAAAATGCAATTTTCATCACTGTCAACTCAGTCAAGTGGAAAAATAAAATTCCAAAGAATTCAATGTGCATTCAGTCACAACCATACACATGCACCGCCACACACACACATATGCAGAGATACCAACTGACAGTCATTGAAAATTCTAAAAAAAATAGAAAAAAAGATGGAAAGTAATGCAAATACAAGCCCAGAAAAAATCTGATATTAAAATGGAAAGGTAACAAACGAGATTTAGGAAGTGGGGTCGACTTGAAAATGTTTTAAATGGCAACAGCTTTATCTAGAAACTTTGCTATAAAGGCCTCTGACGGGATTTTTGGAAATTCTTTGTTGAAAGGGTACAAAAAGTACAAAATGTTACGGCATTATCATTACAGACCGTAAAGGTTCAACTAGACGTGACATAAAATTTTGCCGAAATTTATGTCATATTGGAACTTTTCATTTGGAAGGAACTTGAAAAATATCAAAAAACTTCCGGAAACTACCACTTAAATAAAAATTGAAAAAAAAAATGGAGACTATACGAAGACGTGGACCTGCTTACGAAAATTTTTGTCATAGGTTGTAGTACCCATTACCAACTTCAAATACCAAATTTGAAACAATTCCTGTGAATAATTTCGCTAAAATCATAAAAATACCGAATATCAGAAGGTACCGTTATGTCAGGGCTATACGAAGACGTGGACCTTCATACGAAATTTTTTTCCATAGATTGTAGTAACCATTAAGATCTCTCAATACGAAATTTGAAACGATTCCGGTGAATAATGTTGTTGAAATAATGAAAGTACCGAATTTCGGGAGCTTTGAGGGAGAATTTATAGAGCTTTACGAAGACGTGGACCTGCATACAAAAATGTTTATCATAGGCTGTTGCACCCATTATGAACTTCAAATACAAAATTTAAAATAATTCCGGTAAAATATTTCGCTGAAATCATGAAAATACCGAATATCGGGAGGAACCTTTATATGGAGGCTATACGAAGACGTGGACCTGCATACAAAAATTTTTGCTATAGGCTATAGTACCCATTACGAACTTTAAATATGAAATTTGAAATAATTCCGGAAAATACTGTCCCTAAAAGCATGAAAATATCGAATATCGGGAGGTAACGTTATATAGGGTCTATACGAAGACGT